GGTCCCTGGGTTCTGGAAGAGGAGCAACAGTGGTAGATCTGGTGTCCCCAGTCTGTGTCCAGCCTAGCTCAGCCCTTCTGAAGTTGGATGTGCCCTAAGAGATGGCTGCGTTGGTACCTGTTAGGATTGGCGAAACCTGGACCTACAACCCGCACCCCCCAAAATAAAACTCCCTGTAGAAGCATCTATCTTCTAAGGGACCTCCCAGGCTAAACAGGAGGCCAGCAGTGAGGCACTAGCACTTCACAGAGACCTGCAGAGCCAGATAGCCATGGCCTGTAGGTTTAGGTGTGCTGGCCGGGTCTGAGTTGGACAAGGCAGGAGGCCTGGGCCCTCCTCCACGTCCTAGGGCAGCGGGTTGCTATTTTCATTGACTTTGAACATCTTGCTGGTCTTGGTTACATAGGTGCAGGGGGCCTGAGATGGCCCTAATTGAAGTTGGGAAAATGAAGGAAATCACAGGCATCCTGAGTTTTTGAGGTACATAATCCATATCTATCCTAATAAAAGGTAGTATGCCCTTGATCTAGAGAGGCAGCAGTTTTTGAGGTACATAATCCATATCTATCCTAATAAAACGTAGTATCCCTTGATCTAGAGAGGCAGCAAAGGTTGGTCTCAAATGCAAAGCACTCATGATTTTAAAAAGATCAAAATTTGATTAATGTTTTTATCCTCATTACAGAATAAAAAATTCTAATTAGAGAAATTAAGTACACTTCACTTGAGAAGGAAATATACCTAATGCCAATCCTTTCACATATACGTGTACGCCCTGAAGGTTTAGGAACAATGGACTGGGAGTTGGCAGTTCCCTGTAAGCTGTGTCCTGATCCGGCACCTCATAGTCTTCCTCAGGTTCCTTGGACAAAGGACATGCAAGTTCACAGATCTCAGTTGTGCATATTTCCAAGATTGGCTTTCCAGTAACTTTCCAAATCAGCTTTTAAGAGTCATCAAAATTGGGTTTTCACAAACTAAAATTGGTCCCATGGTATCAGAGTACCAAGAACTCGGATTCAGTGTTTTCCTGAGGCTGTCTGCCAAGTGTCCTGGCATCCCCCTGACTCTGCCACCCCCACAAGCCAGAGAGCACTTAGCACCACATGGGCCACTGGTGGAGATTTCTGCTGTTTTCCAGAAGAAGGCTCTTCTGTTTATTCCCTGTTTAGCAGCAGGGCTATCTTACACTGGTCATAGTTTTCTATGGCTCCTACTCTTGCCGTTGAATTGAAAATCAGTATAAGTGATAAGTGCATCATCATGTTAGGTTTGTCTGACTTTGGGCCTCACAAATGGTGGTGGTGTGATGCATTTTTATCTCAGGTATATCTATGCATAGAATTATAATAACTACCTTTGATGACATTCTGCTCTGTGGACCCAATATGAATCATGCATACCACTATTGGTAGTGCCAGTGCTGATAGACTTGTAAGTTATAACCAGTGCCCCAGAGCAAGGTTGCTTCTCAATGAATGACACCTCATGATATCACAGAGTTCTTTTACCTTGAAAATCAGGGGAGGATAGGTAGCCTGTGGAATCACTGCTCTCCCTAACTGGACTGTAAACAAAACAGTTTATTTCAAATATAAGAAGTCACTTCCACTGTAGAGTGTGATGACATAGGTGAATGCAATTGTAAAAACTTATCAATTATGCACTTGAGAGCTTTACCTTTTATTGAATAAAAAGTATACCTCAAAAAAAAAAAAAACAAACAAACTGATAAAAACAAGAATAAGAGGCCAGAGGAGGAGAACAGGGGCTTTTGAGAATGAGACTTAAGAATAGGGAGGAGGTCCAGCCAAGAATGCATGGCCACAGTGTAGTAAGGAAATGTCAGACAAACTCCAAATCAGGAAAGCTCTATTAACAAGCAGAGGGGTCATGTACTCTTAAAAAATGTCAGTGTCACAAGAAACAAAAAAAGGCTATGGAAATGTTCCAGATTGAAGCACTGCATCCTGTCCTGGAGGGGAAAATGCTATAAAGAGCACCATGAAGATTAAATGACAATTTGATTATAGATGGTAGATTAAAGTACTGTCAATGTAGCTATATGAAACTGATAATTGTGCTATAGTTATGTAAGACAATATCTCCATTCTTAGGAAATATGTTTCAACATATTTAGGGGTAAAGACCCATCAAGTATGTAACTCACCCAGAAATAGTTTAGAAAATAGTTATGTATGAATGTGTAAAAATACATCTATATGTACACACACACACACACACACACACACACACACACTCCCTATTGCTTACCTTGGGAAGAAAAGAAGAAAAAGGATAGGTTTGGGTCTTGTTGCCAAAGTCAGTTCAAGGTTTGATAGGTGTTTTACCAACATCTGTACCTCCACGCAAACACGTTGTTATCAGAATCCCCTCCTCTTTCAATCAATGATTCCTGAAAGCCACATCATACCCATAGCTGATTCATGAAAACCTTGACTCCTGGTCAGGTCACTGTTACCTGGAAATGAATGGGGCTTAGGTAAAGTTTAGACACTGGGACAATTACATTGATTCAGTTGAATTGAATGCACACGAGTGAGAAGGGAGGGAAGTGAAGAGAGTGGGAGAGAGAACTCACAAAAAATAAGCAAATGAGCAAAAAGGTTGGCAATGGATAAATCTGGGTAAATGGTATGTATGGGCATTCTTTATACTGTTTTGCTTTTTATTCTTCTTTTGCAAATTTGGAATTATTTCCAAATAAAAAGTTTTTTCAAAAAAAATTGGGAATGAAGGCGCTAGAAAGAATTCCAAGAGCTTCACAGTATAAACTTGGGTCAGTTTGGAGTTGTGTCAGTATCCTGGTGATGGGAGTCACCGTGATAATTATACCGCACTAACAGCCATAAATGGGTAATTCCAAAGCAATAAAAGCTAGATTGGTTATGTGGCAAACCTGGGAGAATGAGAGAGAATTTCCTTATTGCTTACTCTGCAGAGAAAAGGAAAACAGTACAGGAATTTTGTTGACAAGGCCAGTTGGAGGTTTGATGAGTGTTTTCCCAACATCTGTACTTTCAAACAAGCAGATTGTTATCAAGATCCTCTCCTTCAATCAGTAACTCCTGAAAGCCACTATTTACCCATAGTTGCTTCATGAAAACCTTGACTTCTGGGTCAAGTCAGTGTTACCTGGAGACGAAAGCAGTTCAGGTAAAGTTTATACGTTGGGACAATGACATCTATTCTGTCTAATGGCAAAACTTCCTCAGATGAACCAGGCAGTAGCACCGTGGATTTGGAAGAGGAAGGCATGCCTAGTGATCTCTCAGTGGGCTTTCAAAGGCCATCATGTCTGATCTTGCTCAGAGGGGCCTTGTGCCCCCAACGGTGGCTACCACCCCGGCTCACCTCCTATGGGATCCACTGTGGAAGAAGTTGGCTCCGTCTCCTGCCCACACTGAAGTTGGCCTAATGGTTATGGCAGGGATTCACTCCCTTCCCCACTCGCAGATGGAAAATACAGCATGGGTTTGTTCAAGCACACTTCCCAGGCACACAGAAGCCTCCCCCTCAACCTCACCTGCTTCTGGGATGAGTTAAAGTACAGATTGCACTTTATTCTCCAGTCTCCAGACTGTGGAGTCATGAAGCTGAATGCTCCTAACATTTCTGCTGGTAAAGATGGACTGTTTGGGGGACTTGGACATTGACCTATATGATGAAAGCTGTCTGCCTGTTTACCAGCATGTGTAAAACCAAACTGAAACACTGTACAGCGAATTAAACTCAAGTGGTAAAATAGGCTTGTGGTCACAGACAAACTTTATTCTATTTCTTTCCTGGTCATGTCACATTATGTTATTTCCTGGAGAAGGGAAAGTTAAGAACAAGGGCCTACTTTATCTGCACTGGGTCTGGAAGGTCTGTCTGGTCATGAATCAAAGCCTCATAGCAGAGAAGGATCCATAGCAGAGAAGACAAGCATCAGAGCAGGAGATGGGTAGCAAATGAGAGAGAGGCAGAGTCTCTGCTGGCTATGTGCACGCCTAGAAGAACCTGGAGACAACCCCTGAGCTGCCAGCATAGACTACTGAGGTTAGACAAGAAGATAGCAGCCCTGGGTCCCAGGACTTTGGGGTCCAAGAGCCCCAGTTCTGCCCTACAACTGTTTAGGGCATAGCCTGGCCAGGGCTGGAGTAAGTCACTGAGAATATACCCAGCTCTCCAACCTGTGGGTCCTGCCACCAATTCATGTCAGCAACTTTGGTCTCAGTTGATAGCTCATTAGGCCCCTACAATGTTCAAATCACCATGCTGAACACTGTACATGTATTACTTTATGTGCACTCATGACAACCTCTCCCTCTTTTAACGTAAGGAAATGGGCTGAAAATGCTGACTTGCCAAGGTAAATTTCGAATTATTTCCAAATAATTTTTAAAAAATTATTGATTTTATTTTTATAAAATTATAAATATTAAATTATAGATTTTAAATTTTATGTATAATTTATAAATTATTTTCAATAAGCAGTAGAGCTAGGATTTGCAGCCAGGACAGTCTGGCTCCAAATCTCATATACATTTTGCCCCGCCACACTGTGCATAAGTGTGTACACAGACACATACACACATACACACACACGCATGCACGCACGCGCACACACACACACACACACACACACACACCATGTTGGATTTTCTAGCTTCAAAAAAGAGCTTAGTGTGGCTTGTCATAATTGATTCTAGACATTCTGAAGTCACATCTGCTTCGAAAGAAGTAGTGGTATTGACCTAAAGTAACTGGTGTTCTATCATGTGGCTGAGATTATCCCCAGTCTGGCTGTGTATATTGGCAGGGGCTCTTGTTGGGACCTCAGTATCCTGGTTTGAGCTGCCAAGGTCAGATTTGGTAAAAGCTGATGGGCTACATGACAGGGAACTGTCAAAGGGCTGGGCTGGCTCCAGTGTCAGGGAATGTCCAGTCTCTTATGCCCTGGGTCACTTGCCACCTTCTCTCCCCTGTCTTTGCAGCCAACCTCGGTTTGAAGTCCAAGGCAGTGGCTCCTGTGGAGCAGCCAGCATACCAGGGGCCCGTGCACTGCATTACAACCATTGTGAGGAATGAGGGCCTGGCAGGGCTGTACCGGGGGGCCAGTGCCATGCTGCTGAGGGATGTCCCAGGCTATTGCCTCTACTTCATCCCCTACGTGTTCCTGAGTGAATGGATCACACCTGAGGCCTGCACAGGCCCCAGCCCCTGTGCCGTGTGGCTGGCGGGCGGCATGGCAGGTAAGAGCAGCAGCAGCTGGAGCCGTACCCCTGTGCAGGCCATGGCAGTGGGACAGCTGGGGAACTGCCATTCCCTTCTCAGCCCAGGGGTAGGGCAGGACACATTTAGGTACTCACCCAATAATTATTTGTTAGGTACCTACTGTGTCCCTGGTCCTCTCCCACCTCAGCCTCATCCCTTTTCCTATGCAGCTATGAGAATGGCAGTTCCCATTTGAACCCATTTGACTTTCAGGCAATGGATATATTTTGAACACATACTCTGTGTCAGGCATTGCTAAGCTTTGGAAAGGAAATCCATTATCATGGTTCAGTTTATTAAATGTAACCTTTGTGATGTAAGGATGCCATTAGTTCTACAAGGCAGGAATCAGTCTCCCCATTTCACAGATGAGAAAACTCAGGTCCAGAAATGTTAAGTAGCCAATCCCAGGTCACACAGCTGGTGCTGACAGTATAGCAGGGACTCTGCAGCCAGAAAGATTTAAGTTCAAATCCACACTTCATCATTTTGTGACCATGGCCTGGCTGCTTAACCTCCCTGCTCAGAATCCTGCACCACATCCTTCTTTCATTTAAGGTAAAAGTTGACATCCTTGCAATGGTTTTCCAGGCTCTCAGTGATCTAGCTCCCTGTTCCCCACCCACCTCACTTCTACTCCTCTCCCCTTCCTCACTTTCTCCGGTCACACTCGTCTCTGCTGCAACTTGACCATGCCTGGCCCTTCCCCGACCACAAGGCCTTTGTACCTGCTACTCACACCTCCTGAATTTAACAATGTGGAGGCCACTGGGGATTTTGGTAAGGGCCATTTGATGGAGAGAAGGGTGTAAAAACCTGATGGAGTGGGCTCAAGAAAGAATGGGATGAAGGATATTGGTGCACCCAAGTATACACAACTCTTCTGAGGGTTCTGCTATGCTGTAATGAGGAACTGAGAAACAGAGCCATAGCCAGAAGGGTTATGGAAGTCAAGAGAGGATGCTTTTTAAGAAGGCTGGCATCATGGCATGTTTGATGTGATGGCAAAGATCTAACAGAAAGAAGAAAATCATGAATCCTCCTCCTCCTCCTTCTCCTCCTCCTCCCTCTCCTTCTCCTTCTCTACCCCCTCCTCCTCCTTCTCTTTCCCCCTCCCCCTCTCCTCCTCCTCCTCCCTCTCTTTCTCCTCCTCATCATCACAATTTGCCATGCTGTCAGCTCATAGCGAACACATAATGAAGCTGATGTCTTTGCCACCTAACTACAGTTTCACCTTCTGGCCTCCAGGTGCCTGTGCTCATGTCCAGCTACTAGTAAGAGCTCAGTCAGTACCGACTGGCAGAGAAGACTGCAAGGCCCCATCTGCTCTCACTTCTGCAGAGAGCAGGTGTGAATGGCCTGGCAGGCAAATCCCGTTTTGTGATGCCCTTTCCCATGGGCAGAGGGGCAAGGGAGTGCACCAGGGCAGTACCTGGGGAAGTGGTCCCATTGTCCAGGCAGAAGGCACAGGTTTAGAGAGGCTCTTGGAGGACCAAGGGCAGGAGGCTGAGGGGATCAGAGGCCAGGATAGGCCAAGGGCCAAGGGCAGTCTAAGGTCTCCTTTGGGAGCTACTGGGCAGCAATTACAAAACCATGCAAACCAGTTGCCCTGGACTTTAACATCAATTTGTTTTTCTCTCCTCATCTAGGAATATACGAATTTCTGTGTTTATATAATAACCTGGCATTGTTTTCCTAGAATTCCTTACCTGAGCATATCCCATGAGGATGACCTGGTGGCACGTGATCCCAAGGCTTCTATTCCACATACTTGAAAAAGAAAAGAGATTTTTCAAAAAGCTGTCCCTGCTGTGTTTTTGCAACCCCCAGGCTGGCCCTTCCTTGGTGAGCAGCCTGTCTGCATGTGTTTGTTTAGCTTCTCTGGGTTCAGAGTAAATCCTGCCCTCAGCGAGCTGCAAACCTTCAGCCTCATGCCTCACCCTGGGCTCTCTTCTGGTGCCCCGGGAAGGTGCTGCCAAGTACCTGTGGAGCCTGTTACTCTTTCTCCAATAAAAACTGCTAATAAAGACAGCCACGTCTCGAGCACTGGCTGTGGACTGGCACTGTGCTCAGTGCTTCACGTTCATCAATTCATTTGGCCCTCAAAACAGCCCCACAACGATAGGTACTGCCACCCCACTTTATAGACGAGAAGCCCGAGGCTTAGAGAAGGGAGGAAACTTTTGCCAAGTCTCACAGCGAGTGGCAAGTGAGAATCAGAAACAAACTTTGCGGGTTCTACTCCTGAGCTCTGTCCCTTCTCCCGGTTTAATGAATCTCTAAATGGTAGAAATCCGCAAGGAGCCAGGCCCCTCCAGATCCTAAGGAGCCAGCCCCTGACACCTGTTTCTTTCTCTTTGCAGGAGCAATTTCTTGGGGGACAGCGACTCCTATGGATGTTGTGAAAAGTCGACTCCAAGCTGATGGGGTTTATTTAAACAAATATAAAGGTGTCCTGGATTGTATCTCCCAGAGTTACCAGAAGGAAGGTCTTAAAGTAAGCCCACAGCAGGCCTGCGGGGTCAGTGTCAGTTCCTGGAAGGTGATTCACACATTTAGGGGGATGTGGGACTACAGAGAAGGGAATCAGGAGATCAGGCAGCTGCCGGTGATTATGTGTCAGGTGCCACAAGCGGGTGCTTTGTCAAGCACTTCACCTAGGTGGTCTTTTCACATGGCCAGTGGAGGAGGTAGATATGTGACCTACCTGACAGAGGTTCAGAGAGGGCTGGTAATCTGCTTGCAGCCACACAGCTGGTCCATGGTGGCGCCTAGGCCTGGTCTACGTCTGTCTGTCACCACAGTTTGCCTTCTCATCAAGATAGGTTGGGCAGTCCTTCCTCACTCATGGCTCAGTGCCTTCCCCACCCCTCCTCCTGGTGGGAATTGCCAGAGCCGCCTTGCCTCCTTCCTGTCCTCAGTCAGCTCATCTCACCAGCTCCAGGCCCTGTGAACTGTCTTCTGCTCTCCCACCTAAGCCCTGACCCCAGACCTCTGATCTCGGCTGAGGAGGCAGCCTCCGACCCATTTCCCTTGGCTGTGTCTCCTCCGTTCTTCCTACAGCTCAAGAGCTTAACCTAACACACACCCCTTCCTACCACCTGAAAAGGTGCTGCCCCAGGATAGACCAGACTTCCATGTCCAGTGTCCAAGGTCATAAACAGATTCATCACCCTCCGGAGAAACCATCCTGCTGGCTCTTTCTTGCACGGGCTCCTTGCTTTCTTGGTGTGGCTCTTAGAGTCAGCAGATGTGAGTTCAAAGTCAGATGTAGCTACTGTGAGCTGGCAGGATCCAAGCAAGCAGCTTCATGTCTCAGGGCCTCAGTTTCTTCTAGAATGATCATCCCTTCCATGAAGGGTGGGGCATTTGTGGGTTAATAAAAAAAGCACTCCATTCAATATGTAACCCATAGGGAAGAGTTAACCCTTTCTCATTTGCATTAGTATGATCAGTATTGATTTTATTAGCACCAGCGTTACCCCAGAGCTCTGGGTCTTTTCTCACATGGCTGCCCCACCCCAGGCCCTGCCAGATGAGTCTACCCATCCTTCCAGGCCCAGTGCAGTCCACCAGCCTTCCCAGGATCTGTGTCCTTGGCTTGCTTCTCCTGTACCTCTCTCAAGGCGCTTCTCACACCCCACCACGGGTGACAGTTATTTCTATACCTGCCCCTCCTCTGCCTCTTACAGCAAATTTTCCAAGGTCCTGTTTTACTCTCTCCCCCAACTTGGGAAAGACGCAGAGTTGGGATGACCCAGTGTTGTGGTAAATAACTAACATGCCACATGAGAGGGACAAGATCCAAAAGCTAGATCAAAGGGCCACATCTAAAGGACAGACCTACCAGAAGTCACTGTAAAGTCCAGCCCTTAGTATTCAATCATGGATCAATCATCTGTGTAAAGGATGGGGCAATCTGATTTGATGAAGGCTCCTAAGGAAAAATGCCTAAGTGCTTTAGTTTTCAAATGCTTATTTTTAGACCAACTAGTATGTGGTAGGCACAGTTCTAGGAGCTGGGGACAGAGCAGTAAACTAAAGAGAAAAAGCCCATGCTCTGATCAGCTAATGTGCAGTGAGCCAACAGTGAGACCTGTCCCAAGGTTGCATTAATAGAAGTATAGTGGGTAGAATACAGGAGGTGGAGGCCTCTGCCCTGACCAGATTACAGCTGAAATGTTGCATCCACCTTTGGTCACTGCCCATTAAGCAAGACCCTAGAGGTGCCCTGGGAATGAAGAGCAGGATATCATAGTGTGTGAGGAAAGGCTGGACCCTGGTTAGTATAAGAAGATGTGATAAGGAGGGAACTTGAGTTCTATCTTTATGTTTTAAGGATGGATAAACTCAGAGCTTTACTATTCTCATTATTTTAAATTCCTTTTTAAAATTTTTAACAAGAGCTGCTCTGACAGAAGGGTGAAGCCCAGCCCTGGTGCGGCCTCAATTATCTTTTGTATCTGTTTTTCTTCTTCTTCTTTTTTTTTTTTGTTTTTTAGCAGAGGTACAGTTTGTGATTCAGCCAATGAATACAGAAGGATATAAAAGTGTTTCAAATGGATGATTCATTTTTATCTGAGATGTTTTTGTCTACTTCCCCAAATATTAATGTGTCATAATTTATAAAAAGTCTGTAGAGGCAAAATATATTGCTGATATTATTTCATGCAAAAATTACTGTGCTCTTTAAAAAATGAAGTCCTGGAAGTCAGCTAAGTTCAGATGATTGGTTTCTTAATTTTGATAGCATTTGGTCCTCACTGTTGGTTCAGAGACAGGTTATAAGTCAAGATAACAATACTCAGCTTGAGTAACCACTGCGTGATCAGACGGTTCAAGGTTAATTGTTTAAAATTTGTATCAATTGGTCAAAAATTGGTAATGTATGAACATAGGAAGCTTCCAAAACTACCTGAGGATATACTGTGTCGATGCCCTGCCTGTGGTCCCTGTCCTCACTCAAAGGCAATTACCATAAAGTTTCTTGTGATACATTTCAAAAACATTTACAGTGTATGTAAGAATATATGTGTATGTACCTATCTATGTATGCTTGTATATGTGACTGTTTACTTATGAACATAAACAGTAACATAAACAAAAACGACACCATCTAGAACAATCAGGTTGTCTCAAAGGCAGTTTTCTGGCAGCGGCAGGAGGAGGAGGTAGAGAGGATTCCCCGGTGCCCCAGGGATGGCTCCAGTTCCCGGCTGGCTTGGGCTCTGGCCATATGGAGCACCCCTCCCCAAGCATTCTTGACCGTGGCTCGCAGAGGCAGAGTGCAAGGCCCCAAGTCCATCATCATCCAATCTGTTCTCACCTTCCTATGGAAGAAGAAGTTTGTGACAGGAAAGAATTAGAAAGGCATTAATAATGATGATGGCGACCAATTTGAGTAGCTCTTTGTAACCCACTTAGGGATGATCAGTGGCGTAGCCTTCGTGGTGGGGAAAATCAAAAGTCCATGGACTTGTCGAGGCATCTCCAAGTAGAAACAGAAGAAAAATCTGGTAGTTTTGGAGCGATTCTCTGCCCACTGTTAGGGTTGTCTTGGGCTACATGGACCATAGCTCTGACTTGGAGAGTTGCCATCTGAAATAACGAGGCTGGTGAAGCACCTTGGTATTCTTGGCTCCATGGAAGCAGCTGCTGTGGAGGGGCTGTGGCAGTGAGATGAGGCTGAATGGCAGACAGAGGGCGCATTTGTAGGTAGACAGCTTCCGGAGGCACCAGGGCCAGCTGCCCTGGGTTGCTGTCCCTGGGGAATCTGGAGCCTCCCTCTTGCTCCAGGAACCCTGAACTACAGCCACCAGGACTCTTCCTTTTTCACGTCTAAAAGTTCATTTATTCGTTCATTCATTTACTCATCCATCCATCCATTCACTGATTCATTTAATGTGTTTATGGAAGGTCTACTCTGGGCTAAGCGCTCGCAGGTGCTGGGGTTTCAGAGGCAAACCACCCACACAGCCCTGCATTCACTGTCCTGACTGTGGTTGCTAATCCCACCCCCACCCCTGTTGTCTGTCCTTCCTGACAGGTAAGTCAGGGACACTTGGAGAACAGTGTGAGGAGTGCTGCGATGGGGAGATACTGAGTGCACAGAAGGTGAGGGGCCATCATCCACCTGGGGGTGGCCATGGCGACATTGCCAGGCTGCAAGCCAGGCCTCGGAAGCACTCCAGGCAGAGGGTACCAGAAGAGGCCCAGTGCAGGAAAAAGTCTGGCCCCTTAAAGGAATGACAGGCCGTTAACCTGCCCAGGGTGTCAGCTGTGAGAGGCCGCGCAGAGAAAGTGCAAGGGAGAGTATGTGGGTCCTTGCAAGCCAGGAAACGGTATGGACCTGACCCTAGCCCATAGGGAGCCACTGAGGCTTTGTAGGGTGGGAGTGAGGGGCACTCGGTCTGGAGGTCATATGCTCTGACAGCTCTAGGTAAAAGCTGGCAGGTCTGCACTTTGTTTGCCTTCTGTGGGCTCCGCAGCAGAGCAGGCCACAGCTGCTGGAGGGAGGGCTGTCTGCTTGTCTGAAGTGACCCACAGCTCCTGCAGAGCCTGGTGCTGTGGGACAGAAGGCTCACACTCCAAGCCGGGCCATGGCTGCCTCCACCTTGCAGAGCAGAGCCAAGCCCAGACCCACAGGGCAACCTCTGTGGGCACCGGCATGGAATTTTCCTCTCGGAGTTTGACCCAGTTCCTGGCTGTTATTCAGTCACTCTGGATGAGCCTGTGGAATTCCAGAAAGGTCAGACATCAGAGAAGAGTGTTAATATTACCAGGATCTCACTGCTTGAACAGCTCGAGGGCTTGGCTGAGCCACTTGTTCATCTCTAGGGATCCTTGTCCATTAGCCCCGTCCCTAGGGCCATGTTGCACCCTGGAGGCTGCTGCAAAGTGCAGGCACCTCTCCTGAAGGAAGGTCACCTGATATCCTAGCCAATGACAGAGGCCTGCACCAACTCTGATACCACAGTGCCCAGAGACTGAGGAAACTGGGAAACGCAAAGGGTTGGTTTCTACTTTTACAAAATGACCAGTTCTGTTTCTTAAACTTAGAAAATTATACAGGAATCCGAGTAGGTTTCTATCTGTGCCTGACAGTTCTCAAGTCATTTATATTTGTGTGAGAACTTGCTTTTAGATGGTCGTTACTTACCAGAGGATGTATAAAAGGCCAGCTCCTCCCCACGGTCCCTCTCGCCAAAGCTCTTATCTGTTCTCATTTTCTGGGTCATGTTGTTATTGTTCCTAAATGGGCCTTATCTCTGCTAATAGGTTATCACTGCTTGAGAGTTGGAATCACATCACATTTATGAGCTGACACCCAACACCAAGCAAAAAGATTGAGGGAGGAAAGGAAGATCATAGGCCATGTTTGGGAAGCATCACATAATACTCCCTGGGGATGGAAGACAAATGCAGGTGTCATGGAGCAGCAAAGGCAGAGTTCAGCAGCTCAGCAGCACGGGCCATTCTTCCCGAGCACGCATCCTAGTGCTGGAGGTTGAGTCCTATTCCCTATTAGGTGATAGACTATTAATAAGAACAAGGAGGGTGATGATGATAATCAGCAGTTAACACATGCTTATACTGTATGCCAGGCACCGTGCAAGTGCTTGAAAAGCCTCATCTTATTTAGTCCCTCCAACATTCTTATCAGGTTGATTCTATCATTACTCCCCTCTTACAGTCGGAAAAAATGAGTTCCAGAGAGTTTGCCATTGGCCCAAGTGACAAACTGTGCCTCAACCTCAATGGCAAAGCTGTGCCTCAACTCCACGTCTGCAGAGTCTTAAGCACAGTTCGAGTTCCGTTCTCTGCCACTTTGGGGATGTCCTGTGAAGCCCCTGCTACAGTGATTGGGCATGGCTGGGTGCTCTACTTAGGGCTTCTAGATTCTGGAGGGGAGAGAGAGAGAGAGAGAGTGTGTGTGTGTGTGTATGCATATGAGAGAAGAAGAGAGAGAGAGGAGGAGAGAGGGCAATTTAAAAAGCATATGTAGATGTTTGCCTGGCCCAACAGCTTACCTATAGTATTTAGTGCATGTGTATCAGGGTCTGGCAGGAAAAGCACCATCAGGCATGACACGGGTCAGGGCAGGGCATGACTGGGACTTCCCTTTGTGGTCTCTGCCTACACAGGTCCTTTGGGCTGTGGCTGGGGACGGGGCCTGGGCAGGCAGCACCATGAGCCGTTCTCTGCCCCTCCTTAGTGGCCCTGCAGAGGTGTGGCTCAGTCCCCTGCAATAACTGGGCCCCTGTGCAAAGGTGTTTTTCAGAGGCATCACTGTGAACGCGGTGCGGGGCTTCCCCATGAGCGCGGCCATGTTCCTTGGGTACGAGCTGTCGCTGCAGGCTATCCGCGGGGACCACGCAGTGACGAGTCCATGAGCGCCAGGTCAGTGTGCTTCCATCCCAGCTAATTGTACCTCCCAGGAACTTGAAACTCTTTTTTTTTTTTGGTCATGAGAATGTTGTGGCCTTCTGAAATGTCCTGTGGTTTATCACATATCTTATCTGTGGTAAGCTGGGGCTAGAGCTGCCACCCTTCTTGTCATCAAACAGCAGTTGGGAAATGCCCACCAGTGACTGGTGGTGTGCTGGGTCCCCAGGGACCGAGTCTGGCACAGAGTATACCTGTTTCCAGGCAGTTCGCCTCTCCATTTTCCCATCCAGTAGCTTCAACAGCCCTTGCAGAGAAGCACTTTTACCTTCACCGTGCAGACGCAATGACTCAGGCTCACAAGTGAGGACTGCAACCAGGATACCTGCAGGGGGGCACCGTCTCCCCACCTCCCTACTGAACTGCAGGGTCTGACTTGAGAGCCACCCACAGGCTCCCAGAGCCCTAGAGGACAGGTCTCTGCCACCATTCTTTGCCTCCCATACCCTGTTTTTCTTTCTCATTGCAGAAAGATCACTGTAGCCTGAGGACTCTTCTAAAGACAGAAATCTGACTCCCGTGCTCACATGCCCTCCTTGGCTCCCCATTGCCCTCTAGATAGAGCCCTCATCCTGCTTCTGCTGGCCTCACCCTTCACCACTGTTCTGAATGTCCCGCCCTCTCTCTCGCCCCTAGGTCTTTGCTCAGGCTGTCCCCTCTGCCTGACATCCTCTTCTCGCTCCTTTCCCACTTGTCCTTGGCTTCACCAGCTCTTTGTCATCCAGGCTGTAGAAGTCTCCTCCTCCCGGATTGCCGGCTTGCTTTCTCAGCTGGGGTGAGTCGCGCCTTCTGCAGACCATCCCCCACCCCCACCCACACTGCATCCTAAATGCCAGAGGACGCCCTCACTCCCCAGGCGGGGCTGCCGTGCTGTCCCTACGTTTGCACTAATGGTGCCTGGCACAGAGCCCGGCACACAAAGGACCACTCAGCAGTGTCGTTGGATGGGTGGATGACCAACCCCCATATTCCCTCAGGCCTCCTCTTCCTCCCTGTGCTTTTTCTTCCTCATTGTCTGGCCCCACACTGGCTACCTGCAAAGCTCAGAAGACAAAGTGGGTGTGGACTGAACTTTCTAGTCAACTAAGAAGCCATTTGACATGAGTCTTGGTTAGCACAAATTCTCCTAGGAAGGATGATCTTTGTCTATAAAACCTCACTGCTGCCTCCCCGTGTGAGCTGGCAGGGGTGTTCTTGGGACGGCAGAGCCCTGCTGGGGTGCACGGGTGGTGCCAGAACCTGGACAAAGGGAGGGGGCCTGACCAACCAGGCTGACTGTAGTTAGCCCAGGACAAGCCCCAGAAGCTGGCTTCAAATAAAATGCTCTCCACTTTTTGCTAAAGCAGCAACATTCACTGCTTTTCTGGCTATTTGCCCTTTCTTATAAAAGGAAAAGGGTAGCAACACAGTTTGCATAATTCAACATCTTGAGTGAAGAGTTACAGCATTTGGGTGGCCTCCAGGACAGGGAAGGAGTTTGTCTTCTCCTTAAAGCTGTGCTCGGATATTGGCCATTTCCCCCTTTTCTCTCTTTAAGAGAAAAGTAATTTCTTAGACATCCTATAATAAAAGTCATGCATTTTTATTGTAGAAAAAATAGAAAATTTAAATAAACAGAAAGAACAAAATAGTAAGACCTGTCATCACAAGACCTTGTTATTATTCTTCCAGATTTGTCTTCTGTGTATTTTCAAATTGGGATCCTACTCTACACAGTGTTTTACAGCCCTCTTTTCCCATTCAGTAGTTTGGGACCATTTTCCCATGTCATGAAATCTTCAGCTACAAGATGGTTTTAACGCCAAGACCTCCCAGATCCCAGAGTGGCCGGATGCCTGCCCAACCTGTCGTACCTGCCACTGCGACCACCCTTGTGATTAACTGCTTCAGTACAAAGAAGGAACTTTCTAGCAACCCAATCATGATTGTTCTGCATTTAGCCTTTCACAAGCAGTGACCAATGCAATTGGAAGCTTTTCTTTCTGAAAGCGCTCTTTCTTGCAAGGGGCATGGACGTCTGTCTCCCTCAGCAGAGAGGACTGCTAAGGCAGGGAGGAGTTTGTTGCCTCCTGGTGGGAGAGTGAGGTTCCCAGCCACTGGTCTGCAGATTCATCTTAAACAAGTCTTGCCCATGGCATTCAACTTCCTGTTCTAACCCCAAAACACCAAGGCCTGTTAACAAGACTGGATTTTAATTTACCAAGTAGCTCTGAGATTTGGGGCAGGCCATGCTCAGATAGCAGTCACACCCAGTCTTTGAATGCCTCCCTCATTGTCTAGACCCAGGACAGAGTGAGATGACGTATATTAGAGATCTAGGGAGTCAAGCCGTCCCTAAGAAGTGGCGGGATGGGGACCATCTCGAGAGTTCCTGGGTACAGATGACAGGGATGACTTGAGAATTGTTTCTAAGAGCCTGCAGGGGATAGATCACCCAGCTCCCAGCAGCTGCCAGGTGCCTTCCAGCAACCAGGCACAGAGATCTCCCCCAGCGTTCCCAAGTCCCATGCGGGAAGATCAGTGACCTTTGGTGGTAGAAGTGGTAGAAGTGGCATCCCGCCCACTCATCAGTGGCTGGTTCTCAAACTTGTCTGTGGCTCATGAATCCAACTCTGCCATCCACCTGTCCAAGACCAAGCTCCAGAGCTTCCTGGAATAATGCTGGTCTGCCCTCTGTCCTGACATGCATGCTCCAGATCTCAGTAGCCTACTTGCAGTTTCAGGAAAACTGATTTTCAAGGAAAGAAGACATAGTCCTCTTATGATACCTTTTTTGAACATTTACAAATAGCCCCGGTAACCCTGAGAGCCTCTGCCACTCCGTACTTTGCCTCTTGGTGCTTCACAAACCCAGTCTCCAAATGGGTTGTTTGACCCCAAGATCCAAGATTTCAAGACTCCTGTTAGATGATGTTCTTGTCTCTCCTCCTTTTTCCCAGGGCCTTATCCCATTAACAGGTCAATGCTAACAGTGTCTGCAGAACCCATGGTGTGAATTTACTGAAGAGAAAGAAAGACTCTCCGCCAGGTGGGCTTTCAGCCAAGCAGGCTGTCCTCAGAACCCCTTCCTTCCTTCACAATTGCAAGCATTCTGATCCCCACCCCAGCTGGGGCAGCGGAGCTCCTGCCTTGGAGGGATTCAACTGACCATTGGTCAACTGATCACCAACTATTTCAGCTTTGGACTTGCACCTGGTAACAAAAAAACGAACAGAACAAAACAAAACTGGAGTAAAATAGATCCTCCCCCCATGGCCATTGTAAAGTCACTGTGAATTCATGGAAGAGGTGGAGTTGGCTCTAAGTTTCAAAATAAAAGCATTAAAAACCTCTTCACATTGTTTCTCTGTCAGATGCCCCTGCCTGGCTTCCAAGAGGCTCCTGGCCACTGTCATTCCTCTCGCTCTGTTCAGGCCTCTGTGGATGTTGCAGGCCCAGAGGGAAACCCCCCTCCACACAGGTGAGGCGAGAAACTGAGCAGGGGCAGCCTGGCTTCTTTTTTCCCAGATGCCTCAGGTCGGCAGGGAGGGCATAGCCGTTGAAAAGGGTGATGAGGGACAGAAACCTTCTAGGGGTTCTCCCACCCTGAGCAGTGGCACACGTTGGTGACTTGCTTCAGGCCGGCTGGCCCTGGCCTTGGTTGGGGTGGGCACTCTCTGGGCCTTATTTTTACATGGAGAACAAAACAAAACAAAATACTTGATCCACAGTCTGGTTTCCAGAGTGACTTCATTGTTCTAAATTTTATTCCTTACTAGAGCTGCATGGGGAGGCCATTGCTATTTTGCTGTTATGTGGCTTGTGTCCCTGCAGCCTCTCCCAATTCTGTGCCCACAACAAGCATTCCTAGTCAATCATAGAGCCCTTTCTTGATGAGCCGAGTGGCGCCTCAGAGTCTTTCTCAGCACAGTGCCCCGGCAGCCACCACCAGCTGCGCAGAACTGCCATACGAAATGAATCTATTTGCCATCCCTGGCTTACATCCCAGTGAAGGAAATGTCCTCAAATTTGTTCTTTTTTTCTTTCCCTTGAAAAGGTCTTCCTTGGTTTCTCCACTACCCTGTTCCCCCACCACCCCCTGTCTTTGAGTGATTTGGGCCATGACTCGGAAAAATTTCTGCCTTACTAGACCTAAGACCAAAGCAATGCTATGGTGCAAAAGAGTTGAAAGTGTTCTGTGTCTTCGGTGTGAAACCTGTTACTGGAGCGGAGGGTTCCCTGCTTGAAATAAAACCCTCAGCATGCCCTCCTCAATCTTCCTCCTTCACAGCCCCTGGGACTACAGGGTCCCCTGGGGATCTCTGCAGGTTACAGTTCAAGCTGCCCACCCTCCTGCAGTGGGACATTCATTCATTTGTTCAGTCATCAAACATTTGCCGAGCAGATGCTGACCTCGGTGCTGGGGACAGCCACGTGGGACTTCAGTGGCACGTCATTCTGGTGCAGTGGAGAGGCTCTACTGATAGGAAGAGACCAGCCTGCCTGTCTGCTCCAGCATCACTGGGCCTGGGCGGGCATGGAGGATGTGAGTGAAGAGATGCTTCTGGCACCTGGTTCATCCCTGGGTAGGCTTAAAGTCTCTGCTCTAACACATCCTAGAATGTGTTTCTTAAGTCTGCCTCAACTGGACCATTTCCTGGTGCTAGGTATGCTTGCACAGTTTGATTAGAAGTGGTGCTGTGTCCACAAGGCCAACTAGGGTCTTCTACTGGGTGCTCCTGATGAGGCTGAGATGCAGCAGCCACCTTCTTCAGGTGTCTGAGCCTTTCCTAGTTTCTATTAATCATCATGGCATCTCTTGATTGTAGGAGGAGGCAAGTAGAGAGAAGCATTGCTGATCCCGTTTACAGATGAAAAAACTGAGGCTCCAACATACCTGAGCCCCAGTTCAGGACTTTACCGCCAATCCCATTTGATAATCTTCCTGAGGCTACACTCCCCTGCTGTCCAACCCAGGGAACATCACCAGCAGCCACAGTGATGGCTATTTTGTGGTGTAAAAAAGGACAAAGTTGTTGGGACACGTAAGTATGGAGTCTGAAACTGCTAATGAAGGCCTCCCATCAACCACATCAGAACTGCCCTTCTGGACTCACCTCCCATTGCTCTGGTCCAGGTTCCCTGTGCTCCCATCATTTCCCCCATCCCGTCCAGTGCCAGGCGTATAATGGGCGTTTAAATGTTGCTTTAAGAGTTCCCAAGTGATCCAACAAGCCTGCTGGGCCAGCTGCTTGTCTGCCCAGCACCCTCCAGACTTCCCTGCCTCTGTGCTTTTCTTTAACCTATGGGACACTCTTATCCCCAGCATCACCAGGAACAGGAATGCTCCCTGTTTTCAACCCAGCTCAGGTGCTTTAAGCCTTTAGATGTTAGGGCTTCCTTGATTCTCTCTCTCTCTCCCCTAGCAGCATCCATGGCTCTTCCACCGACATGACCCCTCTGGCACTGTGTCCCTCCCTGTGCTACAGTCATGCGTGTGCACCCTCTGTTTCTCCTTGGCCTGTGCCCATTTTCAGAGCCAGGGCTGAGTCTTCCCAATCCTTAGATTCAGCATAGCAGCAAGAATGAGCAGGGTTTGGAATAAAGGAAGCATAAATTAATGGGCAAAAATGCAAGCATGACCATGTTAACTGAGAATTGTTTGTAATAATGAAAATTGAGAAACTTTCCAAATGCCTGTCAATAGAAGAGGGGGTTAAACAAACAGCCACTAAAAAGAATGAGGTAGATCTTACATATATTGTCATGGAAATAGGTCAGCCACATTTTAAGTGCAGAAATGGAGGGGCAGAATAACATATATGATGTTATTCATTTTCATTTTGAAATGCATATCATATATGGGTAATTATATGGGCATTGAAAACCCTTGAAGGGTACACACCAAATTTAATAGTGGCTATTTCTGGGATGTGGGATTGGGAGAAGGCTTTCAGTTCCTACTTTGATGATGGTGATTTCTTTGTATATCACTATAATGATGGTGATTTGATGATGGTGATTACTGTAATGTTTTAATTTTTTTACAGCAAGCATATATTGTTTTTATAATATCTTAAAATAAAAGCACATCTTATTGCAGAGCTAGGGCTCCCTGCTGGGCACTTGTTTTTCAGGCTGCGGGCTGGCTCTGCCTCGCTGCCCAGCCTCAGCCCGGCTCTGAGTAACAGCCCCTCCCCTCCCTGCCCTCCGGCATGCTGGGCAGACACTGCCTCAGCACATCTTCTACACCCTCACTCTCACCCAGGAGCACCTGGGCTGCAATGAATTAAACTTGGCTTTAATGAAGAAACTCAGCTCCAACCCAAACAAACCTCTTGTGGTAGCCAGATCTGGGAGGCGTCAGCCAGCAATGGATCTACTTCCTCTTAGATTTTTCTGGAGAGGGCAATCTTGTGGAATAGTTGGGGCCAACAGCTTGTGAGTTTTCCTCCATCAACACATTATGCTTCTATTTAACCAAATGTGTGTGTGTGTGTGTGTGTGTGTGTGTGTGTGTGTGTGACAGAGAGAGAGAAAGAGAGAGAGAGAGAGCGTGTAGTCTGTTCCCAGTGCTGTTACAGGCATTGGGTGACAATGGCAGGGACTCTGCCCTCAGAGAGCTTAGTACCAGGCATTAATTTCTGTGTCATGGTCAGGAAAGTCTTTAAACAAATGGAATCCTATTTTTAAGAAGGATGAAAACAAAACAGAATTCCAAGCCAAGCACCAGCTTTGGTGTCTGTGTCCTGGAGTTGGGGGGCTTCAAGGTTGGCCAATTTGCCTTACTAGGAACGATGAAAAGAAGAAAAAAAACCATTACCATTCAGCAGCCCCTTTCACTTCTGAAAATTATTAAGGGCCTCAAAGAACGTCTGCTTATATATTTACCAACATTTACTGGAAATTCAAACAGAATTTCAAAAATATTTATCCATTTAGGTATAATAATAAACCCATGACATTTTAACATAAATAACATTCTATGAAAATAGTGATTCTTTCTAAACCAATGTAACTAACGAGAAGACTTGTATTGTGTTCCCGTTTTGCAGCTAAGTCTGGCTTAAACAGAGAGCAATTGTGTTCCCCTGTCTCCTTTTGCTTTTAGTCAATGGGTTATCACTTGCAATGTAGCCTTTGGGAAACTCCATTGTACACTTGTGAGAAATAAGATTGAAAAGAGCAGAAAACATCTTAGTATTCTATGCAGATAACATCTTAGTGTTCTATGAAAGTAGTTTTGACCTGTTTACACATATATTATGTATATATCCCTCACCCAAAGGCTGATACCCTCAGAACGGCCGCTTGGTGGCAGCAGAGGTCAACTAAACCCTCTGCAGGAGTCCGCGTCTGGGAGTGCACGACCTTGGCCCTGTGGTGAGAGCACCTGGACCCCGTGACACTTCTCTTCCTGTTTCCTGGGCATCACCATCTCCCTTGGTGTTGCCCTTTCCCTTCTCTGTGGTGGAAAGAACTTCACACTAGGGAGACCTTCCCCTTGGGTTCCAATTTCACATGGGCCATCGGCTACCTGTGTGCTCTTGCAGGCATCGGTGCCCCCTGAGCCATCTGTAAAATGGCCACACTGGTCTCCCTTACCTCCTTTGCACGGCTTCCATAACAATCAAGTGCAAAAGTGTTTTTGTAAACTGTAAAGTGCAAAACATAGGGTTTGGAGGAAGGGGGGGCGTGGTGTGATTTTTCTGGTTTCTGTTCTTTGCCTGCCTTCTCCTCTGAATCTGGGTTGTTTGCTTTTTCCAGGAGGTGAACACAGGGTGACTAGTGTTCCCTGGGCCTCATCTCTGCATGTGAAGCCCTGAGAGCTGCAGATGTTTGGCCTTTGGACCTCCAAGTGGACATCAATCAGCAAGCGTGGGCCAGGATGGTGCAGACACTGACGTGGCCCTTCTGATGCCTGGGATGCCTCATGAGTCACTGGTTCAAGCCCTCCAAGGTCTGATCCCCAATGCCCACTCTGCTAGGCTGGCATCAAAGAGGTTTCCAAGAAATGTTTGGTCCAGAGAAGTCCAGACCATGAGCACCAGGGAGCCAGAAACCATCCAGTGAAACCGTCTATCCTCGCTCCTCTGGCTGAGGATGGGGAGGGGCCAGTGAGCTCTGGGCTCAGCCACTCCCTCCAGTCTCAAGTACCACGCCCCCGTGCCTCCCTCTCCTCTCAGCACCGACCAGGTTTCTCCCGGCTCCTGCACCGGTGGATCCCGAGGACAGCAGCAGCGCCTTCCTCAGCCGCACACTGAGTCCAGCGCGTGCTCCTCACTGCGCACTTATTAGTGTCTGTTGAGTGATTCAATCACATCCTTAGGTCTGCAGCAAACAAATGAAGGTTTCTTTATTTTTTGTTAACTAAATTGAGATTTTTTTTTTCAAGTTGATGACAGAAAAAAATAATTTTGCCATTTCAGGGTAAAACTTCGAAATTCCAAGTTAAATGCCCAGTTCAAGATTTTTTCCTTCTCCACCTTCCCCTGGGGTTGACTTTACATCTGGGAGGCTTGGGATTTAGGGAGAGGCTTCAGGGTTCTGGGAGGTGCTCTGTCTGTCCTACCCTGGTGTTCCTCCCGGCTAGTCCTGGGCCTGGCTTTCCCTCCAGGGTGGCTTCTGTAGAAGCATCTTCAGTCCCATTTGGTCCCTGTCGTTGGTCTGAGCATGCCATATACGCCCATCCCAAGGTCTCTCCGGCCTTACCATCCTCCAAGACACATCAGTGCCCCTCTCTGCCCTGGGTGAAAATCTTTGGTTTCTCCGTTGAAACTATTCAGGGGGCTGCATCAAGCCCAGCTTCCTAGGGCCTGTGGGTGGTCCTCCCTATACCAAACCTTAGGTGTGGTGGCGAGAGGCATTCTCTTTTCATGTCATCTCCCAGGGCACTCAGGGAATATGGCTCATGTGCCCTTTACTCTCGGTTTTCTACACGCCCCCCTCGCCCTCCCCAGGAGTGCTGCCCTCTTCCCCGAGGCTCTGCTGGGGGCCAGGCAGAGAGCTCTTCTCCAGGGAACTCAACAGCGTCTGCCATCATCCTCTCCTCTCTGACTTCTCTTCCATAGTCCAAGGAGTTACTTTCTATCCCAGGGCTAGGAGAGTTACCATTGGAAATTCTAAAGCCAAGAATTAACCTCTGTATCAATAACCTCTATACCAATAAGTGCAGAAAATACATCTGACATGGTCCAATCTCATTCAAGATAAAAGTGTTCAACAGACAAGAATAAAAGAATTTTCTCAGTCTGATAATAAGCATTTATGAAAAGTCCACAGCTCACATCATATTAATATTTAATCGTGAGCGACTGGATCTTTTCCCACTAAAATCAGGAACAAAGCAAGAATATCTACTCTCACCACTTCTATTCAACGTTGTATTGGAGGTTCTAGCCAGAAATTAGCCAAGAAAATGAAAGAAAAGGCATCCAAATTGGATAAATGGAAGTGAATTACCTCTATTTACAGATAATATGATACAGTATAAAGAGGGATGGTTGCACAACCCTGCCAATGTACTAAAATCTATTGAATTATACTCTTCAAACGGATGAATTGTATTGCATATGGTATATGAAGTATATCTCAATGAAGCCATCTGTTTTGTTGTTGTTGTTGTTGTTGTTTGTTTGTTTGTTTTTAAGATAGGATCTTGCTCTGTCACCCAGGCTGGAGTGTAGCAGTGCAGTCATGGCTCACTGCACACTGGACCTCCTAGGCTCAAGCGATCCTCCCATCTCAGACTCCAAGTAGCTGGGACTACAGTTGTACATCACCATACCCAGCTAAGTTTTGTATTTTTCGTAGAGGTTGGCTTTCACCATATTGACCAGGCGGATCTCAAATTCCTGGACTCAAGTGATCTGCCTGCGTCAGCCTCCCAAAGTGCCGGGATTTTAGGCATGAGCCACTGTGCCTGGCTAAAGCCATCTTTTTCCAGTGATAAAAATAAAGAATGAAGCCCTTTGGGTCCTCTTTGAGTTTCTGCTGAGGCCTCCCCTTGCAGAGAACGGGAAGTCTTGGTCTGGGGTCGATGAAGCAGGGTGACAATGTGACAATGGGAGGAGAGGAACTGTGAGGTTGAAACATCACAGCGTCTTCCTGCTTCAAACTGGATGGATGTACAGAGGGAGGGATGGATGGATAGATGGGCAAGCCAGCTTTATGGCTGGCCACATCTTGGCTTGGCTTTGGCCTGCAGTGTGTCCTTTGATCTGGCATCTACTGGAAACAACTCTGCCTGGGGCCTGGCAACCTGGGGAGGGTAGCAACTTCACCACTTGTGAGCAATGTGCTTCTGGCCAAGTTATGCAACCTTGTTGGGCCTACTTATCTCATTTGTGCAGTGGGAAAAATTACATACGACAATTATATAAATATCTCATGGGGTTCTTGTGAGGATCCAACAGATATTCTACAAAATAGGCTTAGCAGAGTGCCTGGTACAGAGTAAACAATAAATGTTAGTTCTCCTTTCTCCAGGGTGACTTCTTGATGAATCTCAATTCTCCTGGCACAGAGAAGGTGATAATTATTGCACACTTCACTGTAAGTAAACCCTCCTTGGAGCTTGCCTGCAGGAGGGAACACTGCAGGTTATGTGACTTTTGCAGAAAAGCTGAGGGAAAGCACCAAGCTATGCTGGTGATTAATCTGCATCGGTGAGTGTAAGCTCGTCTCTGCTCATCTCCTCCGGCAACATGTTGCATTTCCGAGTTGTGTTCTGAAACCATCACCAACCATCAGCATCTGTCCCTGCTGTGATCCTGCTTGGGCTGGTGTCTCCCCATGCTGCAGGTGGTAAACCACAGTGTCACATGATTCAACTATGTCTGGGGCCAGTCATTCAGAAAACCCACATGGAGGAGAGGAGAAGAGAAGGTGTTGCAGCTGCGATCTGGAACTCCATGCGTCAGGCTGTCCAGGAAGCTGCAGAAATCTCTATCCCTCCTGGAGCCACCCAGCCCAGCCCCAGATAAAATGTCTTGGAGAGAGTGCCCCCCACCGCCTCCCTGGGTAAGTAGGGCATGCGCTAGAGAAAGGCTGTTTTGTTAATGCAGCTTACCAATTTCTTATCATTATTCTGAAATCCAAACAACTGTGAAAACTCAAGATTTGTTAGGACTTATTTGGCTGCAAAACTTGACCATTTCAGTGACTGCTGCGGGATTGATAGGTTTAATTATGGAACCTTGCCCCAGGCACTGCTGTGGGTGTTATGTAATATATGGCACATGGATTGTTTTAACTTTCTAAAAGGCTAAAAAGCTTGAATTCTGAAACCTATCTGACTCCCTAGGTTTCTGGATATGAGAGTGTGGACTGCAATTATGATGGGTCTGTTTTACCCTCAGGCTGTGGTTGGAAGAAGCACAGTGTACACCCTTATGCCCTTGGTATAAAGAGAATAATAAAGGGGCAGAATGCAAACAGCAAAGGATTTGGAAGCAGAGACTAGGGGTGAATCCTTCTAAATCTCACCACCTGTGGGATCTTGGGAAAGCCATCGAGACTTTCTAAGCTTTGGTTTTAGCATATATAGAACAAAAACATGTAATAATATCCACTTCCTACCATAACTAGGGGGTTAAGCAGTTAATTATTAAGCATTTATTCTGCATGCCCACATTCTTGAGCAGTCTCCCACTTCCAAACTGCTGCCTTCTCCTATTTCAGGCACACGGCCAATTTCTCAGGACCGTAGCCCTCTTAGCAGTGCTCCAGGGCTCCCTCCCTCAGACATGCCTTCAGCCTCCCCTAGCGGCAACCCTCAGACAGTCCCCACAGACATTCTTTGTAACTGCTCCCTGCAGCCTCCCCTGCAGCCCCAGCTACAGCCTCTGAGTCTGAGGGTCTGTGTTCAGCATCAGGAGTCTTATCACTATAGGAGTCTCTGATCTATTCTTCCCCTTAACAACACTTGTAGCTTTCTTTGTTCTGAGCAGCAAGAGATGAGTAATTGCCTAGAGACCAGCTCCTGTCATTTTCCCCCCATATGTATTTATTTCGAAATAACGACATGCAATTTTAAACACATAATCACAACTGATATTGATTTAGAGTAGCTTACTTGATTTTTTAATTGTAGCAACTTAAAGAGAAAGCATTTTAAATTTAATAAATAGGATAAATAATATTTCATCTTCATATTTTGCCTCCCATCCCTCTCATATTTTCTTTCTGGAAAACTTCCAGGAGACTCTTCAGAAACGTCAGCGTGTTGCCTGCCATGGTTTGGTTGCATGGCTGTTCACAGGAAAAATTCTGTGGGGATGAAAGTTGATAAGGACAGAGAGACTCAAATGATGTAGAGCCAGGCAGCCCCAGGAGCCCCCCTGCCAAGAGCCAGAGTCGGTGGTGAGGAGTGTGGGGATGGGAAGGGAAGGGGCTTGAGACCCAGAGCAAATAGATGGGCAGGTCCAGGCTAGCTCATGTGGTGTAAAGACAACGTAGGTGGTTGACCTCAAGTTGGATTTCAGGGCTCTTTACACACACACACACACACACACACACACACACACGCCCCCCTATTAAGTGACCCTAAATCTCCCCATTAGAGAAAGCCTTTCTGGGGACTCTTTGAGGCCTAACATTGTATCATTATCCTTTTAGGTTGTGTTTCCAAGGTCATTTGACAGTACAGTGGCTAAGAGTGGGGCTCTGAAGTCACACAGACCTGAGTTCAAATCTCACCTCTGCCACTTATTAAATATGCAGCCTTAGGCAAATTGGTTAACCTCACTGAGACTGATAAATTGAATAATTGTCCCTAAGGTATGTATTTATTCAGTGAGACAGCAAATATTAAGCACTTAGAACTAGATGCCATTGATGGTAGAAACACATGCAGTTAAACAGTTGAGCTCAGGGCTTTCAGACTTCTAGGATCTTGTGTGGAGATGCTAATACCCAAAAAAGGGAGGGAGGTCACCTCTACCCAACTTGCCATCCCACTCTGCTGTCAGGGACTAGGGTATATGCTGAAGAAAGGAATGTGTGGATGGGCATTCAGGATGAGTGGCAAGCTTCTACCTTGACCTGGGTGCATTGCCCTTTAAATACCTCCTTAATCCAGGCCAGGCATGGTGGCTCACACCTATAATCCCAGCACTGTGGGAGGTCAAGGCGGGCAAATCATTTGAGTTCAGGAGTTGGAGAGCAGCCTGGCCAACATGGTGAAACCCCATCTCTACTAAAAATACAAAAATTAGCCGGGTGTGGTGGCAGGCACCTGTAATCCCAGTTTTTTAGGAGGCTGAGACAGGAGAATCACTTGAACCCAGGAGGCAGAGGCTGCAGTGAACTCAGATGGCACCACTGCACTCCAGCCTGGGCAACAGAGTGAGACTCTGTCTCCAAAACAAAACAAAACAAAACAAAACCTCCTTAACTAACAGGAAAAAAAAAATCCCTTTTAACAACATCCATTCAGTTAGTACATTGAATCTCTAGGATAATTTCGTATTATGTGAGCTGCATCCCTGATTCTCTAGATTGTGGCTTCTAATTACACTTAGAAAGGATTCTTTCATTATTCCATAATAGAGAGAAGTAAATGGCTCCGTTGGTGTGTTTTTTAAAACTAGGGGGAACAATGATCTATCTCACTTTAATTCTATTGTTTCAATGGATCTCACTTTAATTATATTACTTCTGATTAAATTTCTTAGATGTCTTTTATCAGCCTTGAAGTATCAATTCCAACTTTATCATCCTTTTGCATTCAAACAGGGTTGGCATCACCATTCACATAGAAATCACCGACAGGAACACATCACATATGAAAACAAACTTACGGGACACTTGTTGTTCTTTAGTACTTCAACCGATTTTTTCACCCGATTGAAAATCAGCGGGTGTCTTGTTTGCACTGTGGTATTGGTCATCTGAGACAGTCCCTCCCTGAAGCATGGTCCAGGGCAGTTGTCCTGGTAAATAGTAAGGATTTATTAAAAGAAACATTCTGAGGACAGCTTTGAAAATATATCACAAAAAGCAATATAAGAGATGATTTTTATTTAATCACCGTTACTCAAACTTGCATTATTTTTAGATAGGTCCCTTGCCAATGTAGGAAGTGATCTTCCATATTTAAAGGGGATGCCATTTTTCCACAGTGACACCCCCTGGAGGAGACTTCCTGTATGTTACACCCAGGAAACATGAGGGTTGTGGGCCCTGAAATAGTCAGCTCTGAATGTTCTTTTCAAGAGGTGCCTCCCGGCTTCAAGACTTGTAAGTTTGAAAGTGCAGAGTGAGGAAAAGCCTTTCCACACCAGCTAATGGGATGTGACAATTGAATGCAGCTGGTATTTCAGCAGCAGCTAAAAACACGGAGTGTACGCCGAGGGGCAGGGGCTGTGCTGTCTGCCTGGTGCCTGCCCAGAAGGCGCTGTAGCCTCTTCTCCTCTAATGGATGGACAGCGATGGCTGCGATGTCTTACCCTCGCCAGGGCAAGAAGCTCAGATTCTCCCAGGCCTTGCATGAGAAAGAATAAAGCACTGCACCTTGGAGAAGTGCCTCCTCCTCACCCTAACCAGGAGTTTGAATTAGGAGTGAGAACTTTCCTGCCACCCGTCCTTCCTGCCAGAGTGGGCAGTGGCCCTCTGGAAGCCCTCCTTCCACTCAAAACCTCAGATCCTCGATCTGCCCAGAGGGCAGCACTCAAACCAACAGTCACTCTAATCAGCTAGACAGACAACAGGGAGGTAGGGAGGAAGGGAGGAGGCAGGGAGAGGGAGGCATAGCCCGAAGATCATTCATGCCAGATGAATGATAAGGAGTAGTCTTTTTGTTTACATCGTTTCACAACTCTAGAGTTATCAGTAAATGAGGTAGAAAGCAATATGATATGACCTATAGCAATGATTATATCCTTAGTTCCAGTTTTATTTAATTGTGCACATGGCCACCTATCTAAAAAGATATTCAAGATTCTTTTTTTAATGTTGAAAAGTGTTCAAACTTCTCAAGAGGCATAAAGTTAACTAAATACAAAGAAATGTTCATAATATAGGATTTCAAGATCCTAGTTTTAAAAGGGAATAGTTTGTAACAATGTGGTTTTAACAGGGAATACTAATCTTAACAATTGAATTAAGCAACAATGTATAACATTAAATATTAAATAAAGCAACTTATTTTTACTTAAAATCAAACCAAAAAAATCCAAGGTCAAAATTATATTCTCTCATTATACTTACAGAAGGAATGGGCAGACAGAGACAACTGGTCACCTGCAAGGGAAATTTCAGAGTGAAGATTCCAGATGTGAAAATTAAAATTAATTTGGAAAGTTCTTAAAGAGCATTCACTCACATTAGCACTGCAGTGGCACTTCGAAGCTGCATCTTCCTAAAGTAGATAGAGAGATAAGAACCTTTAGTCAGCCCCGAGTTTTTTCATCCTCATACATATTTCACTTTGTCAGTAGCCGTCTTTCCCACGGGTGCCCCCTGCAGCCTACCTGCATCTTGTTGATGAGAAAGTTGATGTCCCTGACGATCCCCGTCGAGGCTGGACACCCCCGGCCTGCCACGGAGCACAGGAGCAGGGCAGAGGTAAGGACTGTGGCCAGAAGCATCTTGACAGAGGACTGGAGCTCGCCTGAAGACACCTTCAAATCGAGTGGTATTTAAAGCTCCCTCTCAAACATGGAAAAACCCTGACATCAAACTGATACCAAGAGCCCACTTTTTCTCTGTAAGTTGGGGCCACTTTATATTAACAAACCAAAAAATCAAACTGAGTCACTTGACAAAGATGATGTTGTGCCAGGAAATATCATTCCTCAGAAAAGATGATTTTCAAAAAGTTGAGTACTGAAGTGCTGAAGGAAAAGTTAAAGATCTAAAAACCAAGAAAAAAAAAATTAAAGGCAGGGATTCTGGTTGTGAGAATGAGAATACTTTCCATGAAAGCCCAGGTCTGTATTTTCCCTTTTGACTTTATGGGAAATGCTGATAAAATATAGCTAGTCACGGGTGTTTGGGGAGAGCGAGTGGGTCAGGGGAGGGTGCGTGATATTGTAGGACTTCACTTCTCTCTGTTGGGGTTTTCCTTTAGTAATTGCAACCTCAGTCTTAACTATCCTTTATTCTCAAATCTCAATGTTTTTCATACCCAGGATCAAATTCGCCACCTAATGCAAATGCATCTTAGAAGTATCCTTTTGTGCAAGTGTCTGAAAGAAGAAATCTTCAACTATAAGCACAAGAATGTGGCAACCATGCTTGTTAAAATTGGCCTTGAGGACTCCTCAGTATCTTTAGAGACCTTGTATAACACTGCATGACATCAAGTGAAAACCCAGTACTTAAAATAGTATAATAGCTAACATTTACTGAGCACTTACTACATACTGGTAACTTTTTTTTTTTTTTTTTTTGGAGACAGAGTGTTACTCTGTCACCAGGCTGGAGCGCAGTGGCACAATCTTGGTTCGCTGCAACCTCTGCCTCCCGGGTTCAAGAGATTCTCCTGCCTCAGCCTCCCGAGTAGCTAGGATTATAGGCACCTGCCACCATGCCCAGCTAATCTTTTGTATCTTTAGTAGAGACAGGGTTTCACTATGTTGGTCAGGCTGGTCTTGAACTCCTGATCTTATGATCCACCTGTCTTAGCCTCCCAAAGCGCTGGGATTATAGGCATGAGCCACCACGCCTGGCCATACTAGCAATATTTCTAAGCACTTTACATGCATTAAGCCATGTAATACACTCAGCCACCAAATGAGGTGGGTAGTAATTTGTCATCACCATTTTTTTACCCTTTAAAACACTGTCTACATCTTAGTGTTCTGGCCCTTCAATATGGCTGTGTTTAATCATCATGAGTCAAAAAAGTAGTCGCACTGTAACTCTGTGAAGTTATAATTATTCTTATTATCTTACAGATGGAGAAACTGAGGCATAGAGAGGCAAGTAATTTGCCCAAAACACAAAGCCAGGAAGCCACAGAATTTGTATTCAAGCCCAGAAGTCTGTCTCCTGATTTCAGCTGTTAATCCTCCTGAGGTCCTGTTTTTCTGCGGATCTTTTATCTGCCTCTCCCACCAGGATATATACTCCAGGGCCTTATGGGTCCAGTTCACCCCTATATTCTCAGCACTTAAGAAGGTGCCTGGGGAAGTGTGGGCACTCACTAAATGCTTGTTGAATTAAAACACTAATTTGAAAAGTAGTTTTTGAAATAAGAACTTCCCATTTCTGGGATTTATAAGACTTCAAATCTGATTTCTAGGGTACATATTTGGAGGTATGTGCAGGTAAGTAAATATAGCCTCTTCACAGTAGATTGAAAAGGTGAGGGGTTCTTTAGCTTAGCACTCTGAGCTATAATAGCCAATGGGGACAAACCCGTAAGATTTCCTTGCCACCACTGTAAGACTATGACAATACTGTTTTTTTCATTGTGTATTGTTCCTTAGGAGTGATGATGACTGTCAGTTTTCTACTGCACTATGAGGAAGGGAGTGTCTTGGTGGTAAACAAGGTAAAGAGAAACAGGCTTTTTACTAAATTTCCTTAAGCCTTTCCACGTCTCTGACTTCCATCCCTGCTCTTTGCAGACACTAAAGAGAAAATTCAAAGGATTCCCAGCCTGTGGCAAACACTTTTGTTACAGAGCACTGGATGTATGCCTTTTTCTTGATGATAGAATTCTGATTAGTTTGGGATACCAATGTATCCAGCCAAACACCCGCTTTTTCAGCCTCTTTTGCTGCTATGTGTAGCCATGCAGCAAGTTTCGATCAATGCAAAGTATGTAAAATTCTTTTGCTTTCCTGGTAATAGGAGACAAAAGTGGCTGAACCCCGTCTTTCCTCTTAATTCCAATTTGAGTGTGATGGCAGGAGCTTCAGCAGCTATCTTATAACTATGAAGAAATGGACAAGAGAATTACAGCAATGGCAACACTAACATTTTTCATAAATAGCAAATAATAAAAAAGGCAATAAAAAATAAAACCATGAAACTAACAAGAGAAGTAACAATAATAGTACAGCAGTGCTACTAAAATTCTAGCTAGCTATCACTGCCTACTGAGAACCCTGAGTTACAAAGCCTGTTCTTGTTTAAAAAAAAAGAAAAGAAAATTAGCATGCTTTGGAGAGATTTTACAGATACATTAACATCAGGCTAAACCTTCTTCCTTGACATTATTGGAAGACTTGAGAGAGATGTGAAAAGACAATCATCTTTTCATTCTGTGAATCAATATTATTTGATGCTCTGTGTGTGAACCATGGGAATCGTTTCACCTGCCATCAGGTATTCCTCTCACATTGAGGAAAACACTACCCCACCTGTTGTACAGATGAGGGCTTTGCCCAGAAAGAGAAAGCCACAGCTCTAGTTTCTAGCAGGTGATAGTATAGCACAGTGGTTAAGACCAGTGACTCTGGAATCAGAATACCTGAGTTCAAGTCCTGCCTCTACCACTTGTTAGCTGCATGGCCTTGCGGGATTGCTTGGCCTCTCCCAGCTTCCATTTCACTGACGGTGAGTGAGGATGGTCATGTGGAAAGTGGGAATGGGGATCTAGGGATGTTGAGATGCAGTTGTCAGTGAAGGCCCACCTCAGGGTACTCCCATAGAGATTAAAAGAAACAGCTCCTCCAGCCCTAACTTGGATTAAGTAGCCTCCGGTTTGAAGTTTGTCAGGGCAAAGCAGCCTAGGTTAGGGGCCAACAAACTGTAATCCACTTTTCAGGTTGAGGGTAAGGTCTACAAGCTAAGAACAGTGTTTACCTTTTTAAGGGTTTAGAGGGTTAAAGTTTATAAAGAAATAATTAACCAATAAAAACAAAGAAGCATGTGTGGCAGAGACCGTATGTAACCCATAAAGCCTAAACATTTATTATCCGGCCCCTTTACAGGAAAAGTTGGCCACCCCCTGGCTGAGTTCCCACACCCCAGCCCTCGTTTTCTGAAGACATCATCTGTTATCTTCCAGTCCTGGGAAGGGCAGAGCTAGGGGTTGGTGGCTCAGGTGTCTTTTCTCCCACTCCCCACCTGGTTATTTAGGTCAGGCATCTGGACAGAGGGAAGGGAGCAGGGGACCTGGGCCACAGACTGCCAGATTATCCGAAGTGGTGGGGGTCTGTCATTTCCTGAGGCTTTCTGTGGAGTGAGCTCGCTGGTCCAATGAACCAAAGATCTTCTCTCAGTGAAACCCGTAACTGCAGCAAAGATATGTCAGGCAGGCTCTGGTGTACTAGGAAAAATCCCACATATTGAAGTTAGGAGAAAAGTGAGTGAATTAACAAGCTAAGTCTTGGCTTGACCAGCAGGCCTTGGGTCACCCACCTTCCCTGCCACCCTCAGGAGCTGGCTCAGGGTCAAGTGATCCACGGCCACTGGTGCTCCTTGGGTAGGTTACTTACCCTTTCCGTGCACCAATGCACCCCCAGCACTCAGTCACTTAGAGAAAGGAATGTGGGCCTTCACCCAGCCCTTCCTCATCAAAGAGAGGAGTGCTCCATTTGGGATATAGTCTCAGGAATGAGGCATGTTTCCATTTGGAAATGTGGTCTGGACTGGTCCAGATGCCTCGCTCTTTGATACTCCCTCACTGCTACCCTCCCATCACATCAGTTTCTTTTCATTTCCATCCTCCAGGCCTTTACCCTTGCTAAGCTCTGCCTGCTGAGTTCTTCCTCAGCTCCTCCCTATGTGACCTGTTCTCATCCTTTAGTACTCAGCTCAACTGCCACCTCTTCAGCAAGACCTCTCTGACCACAGCAATCACTGCCATCTGCCCTGTGCCTCTTTCAGTGTGTTTCTCCCAGGAGAATGTCAGTTCCATGACAGTAGACACTACAACAGACTCTCTTGCTCATCACTGTGTTCTCAGGGCCTGGTCTATAGAGAGTGCTCAGGAATTCCTGCTTAAATGAATAAATGACTAATACATTTAATTTTGTGAACATTTATTAAATGTGTGTTATTGATGAAATGACCAATGCATGGTTCCCAGTAGACAAGTAACAAACAAAAAGCAGATGTCACATTTACCTGAACAAGGAACACATTTAAAAAGTGATTAACCAACAAGTGAGTAAATTTTCCTGCAGTTCTGTAGTCCCTTACGTTGGTGTAGGGTTTGAGAATTTCTGAAGTGCTTTTCAATCTCTTCTTTCTTTGGACTCTTACACTAACTGCATGAGGAAGGCCTGGGTGGTGCAGGAGATCCTCTGCAAAGGATGAAGCAGAGAGAAGGAGAAAGGTGAAGTGACTGGTTCTTTAGAATTCTTTCCCATTTCCCCACCCACTCAGTTATAAAAAATAAAAGAATACAGGGTTGTTAAATGGTAGCTCTGCAGTTCAAAATACCATTAAAACAGCAGATGTTTATCTAGGCAAAGTCTACAACTTTTGAGGTTCAGCTCCTAGGATTTCTTTCAGTGTCAAAATGTAAGTATGCAAATAAGCTACAGAGCAAATACACCACACTCAGAAATCAATTACTCACCTATTTTAAATATCAAGAAGGTTGGAGTGGGATGCATATCAAGAGTTATCATAGATAACATATTTTACAATAAATGACAAAAGACAATGATCAACCATTTATTTTGTGCCAAA